GTTTAGTATTTTTCTTTTAAAATTTCAGATGTAATGGCATTGACAAGATTTTGAACAGTAAATCAAACTTCTGTATTGTGAATCCACAGAGCGGTTCAACACAGGGAGGCTGCTATGTTGTTAATTTATTCCCTTGTTAGTGCACATTAATCCCCCATGTAAGCAAGCCCTTCCTTAAGCTCATTTTAGTGTAAATCATTTCCACAAGATGAGCTTGCACCCGTGAGCAAAACCAGAGGGTGAACAAGGCTTTGGATAATCTTACATCCACCTAATGCAAATCATACAACCATTTCAGTCAATTTTCTACCCCTACTCATTGAGGGGGACCTGCTCTTGTCCTCCTTTTTTAACAACAATTTTTTTTCTTCTGTGTATAATTAATCTTGTCTCCTTTATTCATCTTAGCATCTGAAAAGCAGAAACAGATGTTTGTAATTATTTACACATCATTTTATCACTAAAAATCAAATTACAAAAGCTTTCCTAGAATGACTTTCCTCATCTGTTTCATATTTTGCATCTTTATTTTGGGAGAAAGTTTATTTTTCTATCTGGTGCCTGCTTCTTTTGCCAGATAGTTGAGGGACAGCTGTTAATTGTTTACTGTCCATTTGCCTGAAGATCTGTTAGCTACACTGCCAGGAAAGCCCTCCAAGCAGCCACGTAGGTGACAGTGTTTTGATGTTGTAGTCACTTCATATATAAGGGTAAGACCACATCATAATTTATGTGAGTTGTCAGGTCCTCCAACAGCTCATAGAGTCAAAATGCAAAATATGGTAGCATTAATTCAGGAGTCAGAGCAAGCACAGGCTTGGCAAGTATGGCAGAAGCTGGCCCTGGTGCAATTACTGGCATCTTCATGGGCTGCTTGTTTACATTTGAATTTTTGACCTAAACAATCAGGTCATTCTGGATGGTGCCTTTGAAATGCTCACTCAGGAAATAGATGTGTCTTCAGCAGAGTGCTCAGGATCCTGTCCCAGGACCAAAATATGGAGGGAGGCAAAGCGAGTCTGGGGGATAAATGAACCAGTGAACTCATTTCAAGTAAGCACTTGAAAACTTGGTTCACCCATTAAATATTCAGTATATTAATTGAGTAAAATTGAATGTTAATGGAATAATTAACATAATTATCCTTATGTTAAATCACATCCTTAAAGAGAAGGAGCAAGACTAACTCTTATACAGAACAGGCTTTTCACTCTACATTGCTAGGCTGTGATGATACTGAGCATCCATAAATACAGTTGAGATAGGTGTGTTGAATCCAGGTCAGCTGTACATCACCATAACAGTATGAAACAGCTGAAGGAGAACTTCTCCCAGTGCATCTTTTAATTTTTTTAAGGTTTTTTTTTTCAGTTGCATTCTCAAGAGGTCTGAATTTGGAGTTAATAAAATAGAAGTAATCAGGCTAAAGTATCAAGTCAAAGTATTGCACAGTATATCTTGGTGACATGAGATGGATACAAAATCTGTGCTTTACCAAGCCTAAAAGGCAGGACTTTCCCCACAGCACAAACTAATCTTTTGCTGATTCATGGCAGCTGTCATTGACCATTTGATACATAATTTTGGTGCTAAGGGAGGCCAATATGGACATAACACAGTAAGACTCATCAGTGTCTGTAGTGTATGCAACCCGCTGTATGTAGCTGCCATCCTGCTTACCAAGTTATCCGGAAAGATTTGTAATAGTTATTTGAGTTTTCTTGGGTTAAAACACCCATAGTAGTCTGGGATATTCTCCTATAATTTCATTCTATTCTTACTAGTTGTGGAAAACTAAAAGTACAAAAAAGAAATGCATAGAGTAGTAACAGCTTTTGAGAAGATATGCAAAAACCAACTTCTCCTTAAAGCTCACCCCTAAGCTTGTAATTTTTTGTATAGCTCTCATCTTTATATGGTAAAATATTTACATTGGCAAATATTTATCTTGTTAATTAAAGCTGCTAGAAATCCAGTTTCTCAGAGTTGACACTGTAAGAAAAGAGAAAAAGCCTAAATTTAATTAATATCCTAAAACCTTAGTGATACTTGCCATAGTGCTACTTGCCTCCAGCTGGATGTTATGCTGTATGGAAGATGGGTCTGTTTTAGAAAAGCAGCATTTGTTCACCATAGTGGCTTTTTAATTCTTAACCTTAAGAGTACTTGAATCTTTAAATTTAAATTTTTCTATTGCAAAAATATGCCAAATTGGTGAAATACATTATGTGAGTAAAAATCTCCTTGATTAGCCTACATCTATTTGTACTGGTTTAGCCTGTATTATTTAGAAATTTTCCACCAGTTTAATGAAATTATTTTTCATCCAAGTTAGGTTTTCTGTTGAAATATATCTATACCCACACACATAGATATGCACATTTTTCCTCTCAGATTCAAAGGACAGTGTTATAAATGGCTCTCGGTCTTTGTCATCTTGCCCCATTTAATTCAGCTTGGCTGCCTGCCACATCCTGCTCTCTCAGGGAAACACCAGCAGAGGGAATGAGTAGCTGTCTTTCCATTCAGATCTGAAAGCTATCTGACTGCTGTTAACATTGGAGCAGAAGTGGCCATGGTATTTCATGCACTCCCCTGGAGGAAAGATCCAAAGCCTGTGTAATCTGAACATCCCTCACTTTAACTTCTCACTGAGATGGAAGGCTCTGTGTAATCCCTGCTATTTATTGCTTTCCAGATTCCACTCTGTAAGCATCAATAGTTTATATTTCATCCAGTATTGCCAGCAAACTGTAAGCTGAGTTAACAAATGTCATGTGAGATGTTTTTTAGCTTCTGACACAGCTCACCACACGCAAATGAGTAAATGAGGCCAAAATGTTCTAGTCAGCTTCTCTTCAGCACAGAGATAAGGTGAGACACCTTTGGGTGTGAAATTTGTAATCTATTTCTCAAATGAATTTCTGCAACAGTGAATTCCCATATGTTAAGTAAAACATAAATCATATGACAGGCAAGTACTGCTTGCCCTGAATTACATTTATATAATAGCCCTCTATATAATAAATCTCTAGGTAGAAGCAAATCCTTGGCATGCCTAACAGATAAGCTGGAAAATAAGAAAAAAAAATGAAGCCTTTTCCTTTCTCCCCAGTTTAGCTTCTTTGGTATGCATTACCAGAAATGTGGCAGGGTTACAATTCAGTGCACACACACACAGAGCAGAGATTATTGGGTTTGAGAGAGAAGGAAAGGCATTACCATGCTTAACTTGCATGCCCAGGCAGCCCTGCTCTGAGAGCACAGTGCCTGGTGCCACCAAACAGCCGTGCCTGCTTTCTTTGCTGGACCACCTCACTGTGCTCTGCCTGCTCTAACACAACCTCTCACACCTTTCTCAAGGTTAAATCCTACACAGGGTGGCATTTTTTATTGCTGCCTAAGCACTGGAAATAACAGTCCCACCCCCCTGGTGCAACCAGCACCAGCAGATGCTCTCTTCCATTTCTTCCTATGTTTTGAGCGATGTGATCTCTGTGTATGGTGAAGTGCCATACAGGCAGTAGCCATCCTGTCAAGGGTAGAGTCTGTCAGACAACTGAGAAGGCTTGAAAGCACCTTCCTGCTTTGAAGCTATAGCTTTTGTGCTTTTTACTACATCACTCCAGTCCAGGGAGCTTTGCTGTCAGCATTTCTGCCCCAGACCTGCTGCTGTGTGGATGCTCAGGATGTGCAGTGCACTTCACCATGCCCTCCCTATTGCCAAATGCAGCCTCCCCAGGGCGTGCCCCAGGAGGGTTGCAGAGCTGGGGGGATAATGCCCTCAGCTAGGACTGTTGTACAGGGAGGGAGCTGTACTGTGTGCACTTCACAGATGAGTGAGGAATACAAGGCAGAAAGGAGAAGCAGCAGTACAGGAGATTAGGAGGTAGCTACGGGAAAGAAAGGGTGTACTCATCATTTTTAAAATGGCTGCTTAAATATTACAAGTGGTTATCATCACGTAGTTATATTAACCTGTTCTGTCACCCAGCTCCTCTCTCACAGGTCAAAATCAGCCTTATTACACACTCCACACATTGCTGAGCTGTGCAGTGGAGAAGGGATGAAGTGAAGCAGGTGCCCAGCTGTGGGAAGGTGTCACACCTTTGACTCAGCTCTCCAGGTCTGTTTGTAAGTGTGAGGCTTAGCTGCTTGTGACTTGGTAAATAAAATCTCCACAAGGCCATTTGGACTCTTCTCATTGCTAATGCTAATGTGAACTGAGTGAATTAGCTGTAGGCTGCCTTGCTGCTGAATGTAGCCAGTGATAAATCGAATTTGATTTTTAAAAAAAAATTACAGAGGGACCCTCTTCATGTGCTGAAGATAGGGCAGTGAAAAAGGTGTCAAGACTATTTAATGTATGTTTTCTTACACAGGCAGTGCTAGTGCTGCTATTATACCTCTCATCTCCCCCCTTTTGCATGGAGAATTCCCAGGTTTTGTAGCACCGAGTTAGTGTACAGTGAACTTGGGGAGACCCAGGGCATTTAATGTTTGTAAGAGTGGGATTTGATGCCATTGTTCCTGAAAAAACCAAACTGTGACAACTATTTCTTGCTGTCAGTCTGTGTTGTCAGCCAGCTCTGTGCCCCAGAGTGCAGCAGTTAGCCGGATCGAGTTTTATGCTCATGCTTCTTTGCCTTTTTCACATCATCATAACTTCCTTAGTTGTCTTTTCCAGTCTGTCAGAGTGCAGCAGTTAGCCAGATCGAGTTTTACGCTCATGCTTTTGCCTTTTTCACATCATCATAACTTCCTTAGTTGTCTTTTCCAGTCTGCTTTCTCTGTTGCTCTTTTCTTAAGATAAATGTCTACTGTCAAAATTATGAAAGTTACCTGAGGGAAACTTGATTACAGGGGATGTGAAAAGAACTCAGAAGCGTGTATTTCATTTGCACGAGCTGTGGAAGTGAATACCAGCTGCCTGAGCATGTGTTCCATGGACTAAGGGTCCCAATGGGCTAACCTTTCCTTTTCCTCTGTTTTCCATTCAGGGTTTGAACATGAGTACCCAGCCACATTCTGTGACCAAGGCAGAGATCCCTAGCCATGTTCTCTACACCGTAGGAACATGTGTGCTCATTATTGGCTCCATTGGCATCATCGGAAACCTCCTAGTCCTCTACGCATTTTACAGGTACAAAAATTCCTTTTGTGGTTGATCTGAGTTTCACCTGTGCCCATGTGCAGACTTCTGCATTGCTTTCCACGTGGATTAAATCTAATGGCAATAAATGTGGAGGGAAAGAGAGGAGAAGGCAACCCTACACAGATGAAAACACATCCATGTGCATCATTGACAACCTCAGTGTAAATTCCTGGTGGTTTAAAGAATCAAAATGAGAAAATAATACCTTGTTCTATAAACAATTTCCAATTGAAAGTTTAAAGAATGGTTTAATACTTCTAGTGATAGAAACCACAGTCTCGCAGCTGCAGACTTCTTCACTTACCCTGTAGCATTTGTAAAAATGTTTGACAAACAGTGACACTCTTCCCAGGAGCCCAGCGGTCCTGAAAGGACCAAGCATGCAATCTGCTACATGAAATGAGCTCATGCCACCAGTGTATTTCCTGCTTCGGGCAGATCATAGGATTTCTGTCAGTTTTTGTGCTCTCTTGGCAGAGTAATAGGCAGCCAAAGCTACTGCAGCTAGAGTACGCAAAAATCTCATGGAAAAAAGAAACATCTGTCCTCTGTCCCACAATGTGATGATGGATTTCAAAATCCTCTGCATTCACTACTTGCTGTCATTATGCATGGTGATGCAGCAAGACCTTACAATGCTAGAGACCCCAGTGGGGTTATGAACCAAGCATTAGTTTCCTATTCTTAAATGGTTAAGACGAATAAATTAGTTATTTTAAATAACCAGCTTCTAATACGATTTAGAGAAAATTAATTCCCTGCAACTTCATGACTTTTTAAAATTAAATTTGTCTTGAAATGTGTGTGGTTTAGCTGGTGTAATAAAAGCATTAAATTGTCAAAGTAGGAATATCTGCATGGGCAGATTAGCACCTGGGAATGTATGAACTCTGCTCTCTTACCTTTTTTTTTTTGCTGACAGTTATGAGACCCGAGGATTTAGTAGAATTGCAGCAGCACTGAGATGTCTTTCTCACTTTCTTTTTCAGTATTTATCAGCAGGAGGAAAGAAATTCATGTTAGCTGCAAATATTGATATTGCAAAGCACATCAGAAATGTCCCAGTTAGCTTTGCTTTGCAGCAGACCTCTGCTTTCACACTCCTTGTGGTGTTTAATGTTTCCTCCTCATCTGCAACTGATAGGTTCATTCTCTGTTATGAGATGTATATAAGCAAAAGCAAATCTCTTTCTCCGAATCTCTGTGTGGGCTCTGCTTATGCTGTAGCACTTTGCAAAAGGTCACTTAGCTAGTGGTGTGTCAGGCCAACTGTGTCAGCACACCACCTCAGGTCAGCAGTTTTTAAAGTACCACCAGAAGCTGATCCTTTGGCTCTGTAACTTTCTTCAGATCTTCCTCATGTGCAGTGCAAGGCACAATCAATATCACAGCACTCCTAGGGAACTGCTCTTCTGAACAAATCCATATTTATCAAGACAGCTGAAACTCTCCTTAGCTTGAAGAGGAAACAATCTATTTTATGGCTCCTGGTCTTTTCAATCATTTTGAAATGACTACAGCTGTAGCTGCAGTAATTGACTGATGATTAGCAATTGATTCACTGCAAGTAACCATCGATTTCAACCTGGACAGTATATATTTATGCTAGTAAGAAAAGTTATAAAGTTAACTTTCCACTTTGTCTTTTTAAAACTATGTATTTCTCATGTTTTTAAGCAACAAGAAGCTGAGGACTTCCCAAAACTACTTTATAATGAATTTAGCTGTGAGTGACTTCCTGATGTCGGCTTCTCAGGCACCCATATGCTTTGTCAACAGCTTGCACAGAGAATGGATACTTGGAGACATAGGTACTTTTCACCATTAATTCACACCTTGCCAGCTTTACGCTGCCTGCACCCTGTTTCAGCCACAACAGCCTTGGCTTGTGACATGGCTAGAGCAGCACAAGTCTCTCGAGTCACAGCCCCAGACATTGTCAAGTCAGTGTGGTGTCACATGTTTTGTATTACAGCTGTGATTCTTTTATCTCACATATTTTGGAAAGGAAGGAGTCAAGATTCACATGTAATCATGTCACCCTTTAGCTTGTAAGGGAGGTGTCATGGCTGAAAATAGGTAGAAAAGTTTCAGTAAGTTGTAAATAGTTTTTTCTGTTAGGGAATACTTTTATTTAGAAATGTATGTTGATATACTTTGGCACACTTCTAGGAATCTCATATTTAATTAAGAGATTTAAATAACAATAATGAGTTTGAGGACTCAGCAAATTCAAGCCTCTCTCTTTCCAACTGCAAGAAAGAAAAGATCTATGCTGAAATTAAGGCTGAAATGTGAGTGTAGCAAGAACCTCAGAAGGCTCAATGCTGGTTGGTGCTCCTCATCATATTATGGATGAAAACCTGCACCCACTGGTGGCTGTACAATGGTGGAGCAAGCCCAGAGACCATGTACTGTTCAGCAGCACAGAAGGGACTCTGCCTTTATTTGAAGATACTTTTAGTAATACTTATCCCCTTTGATAAAACCAGTGCAAATTACCATGCTGTCACAAATGAAGAATTTGATCTGGGTCGAGTAGGATTTAGTCCTTGGTTGCAAGTTACTTGTATAGACTTTAGAAGTCTGCTTTAAGGATGGATCTGGTGTTTTTGCTGCCTGTCACTCTTGGTGGGCTCTTGTCTATAACCACATGGGGCAATGCAAGATTTCAAAAAATGGATGATCTTTCCACACAGGTTGCTCCATTTAATTCAATGTAACTTTTCCCATCTGGTACTGCAATGCCTGAATGCAGAGGGGGTTGAGAAGTCTGTTTCATGTAAAAAATGTCAGTTCTTTTAAAAAGTACTGCCATTAAATAGAGGAGTTGGAGCTATGTTTTACAGTTGGTCTCTCAGTTGGTCACCAAATTTAAACCATTTCTGCATTTTTAAGCCATATAAACCAAAGTCATTTCTTGAACCACCCATCCATCATTAACAGACAGATGTCTGCTGCAGCATGATAAGATCAATTTATTGGGCAACAGTCCAGGAAAATATAACTGTAATTACATTGGATTTTCTTTGAGGCAGTTTTCCATTGACAAAACATTCCCAGTTGCAGCCTGCAGTGAAATAGGACTCATTTAAATATTTATATTTGTATTTTATTTATATTTATGCTTTTCTAGTAAGCACTTAATAACTATGAAAATGTGAAGCTAAGAAAGTACTTCTACTGAGAGAGAAGACCTCAGCAAGTAAAAAAAACCAGGGAGATTTATTATTATGAGCTCTGAGAGAAAGCATGCCTCTTTTCAAGAAAGCCCCTAACGCTGCCATTTCCTTCTCCAGGCTGTAACTTGTATGCTTTCTGCGGGGCTCTCTTTGGGATAACCTCGATGATGACTCTGTTGGCCATCTCTGTTGACCGCTACCTGGTGATCACAAAGCCCCTGCAGTCCATCCAGTGGACTTCCAAGAGACGCACCTTGCAGATCATCGCCGCGGTGTGGCTCTACTCTCTGGGATGGAGTGTGGCTCCGCTCCTTGGCTGGAGTATGTTGTCTGCTCTCTCTCTCCTACCATTCCCTGTGTGCTCTTTTTAGTCTTGCTTGGGGTGTAAAACAATGAGTTTTCTTATCAGTGCTCGTGAGGATGCCCTGCCACCACCTGATGGTTTGCTGTTGTAGCACACATCTGCACCTACTGCACTGCACAAACCCTCTGTCCCCCTACACCAGGGTGTGTTAAAGCAACACATCAACCAACAGTTGGAGTATTAGGTGTGTACCTGAGAGTTCTGTAGTCAGGACCTCCTCTCCACACGGGCACTCACTTCACAGACCACATATATGATATGTAGTTTGGCTGGCACAGCTCTTGAAGACCATGGATACAGGACAGGATTTATTTTAAGCTCTTAGTGGCTGGATTAGCACCTGCTCTAACTTTGGATGCATGTGTGAATAATGTGTTCCATGTATTCCATAGGTTCCTATGTGCCTGAGGGCTTGATGATATCCTGCACATGGGACTATGTAACCTACTCCCCTGCAAACAGAAGCTACACCATGATTTTATGCTGCTGCGTGTTTTTTATCCCCCTGGTAATAATATTCCACTGCTATTTATCGATGTTCCTGGCCATAAGGCGTACTGGCAGGTAAGCAATCTAGCTGAAAGAAGTGCATATCCCTTTTTGTGTAACAGAATTTTTTCTCAATTTCTTTAGCTGCAGAAAAATCTGCATCAAAAATTAGTCTGAATTGAAATTGACAGCTGTAACAGGAGAACTATTTTTTGCCAATTTAAAACTGGAATGGATGTATGAATTTCAGAGTAGAAGTCGTCTCTGGTGGTTCTAATCTTATTCCACTGTAGTAATTAATAGTATGTCAGATACTTGGATTGAGTTATTAGTATTTCAGATTTGTACTACAAGAAACAATGTCCTTGTGTATTCCAGCAGTTTTCAGCCTCAAGGGATAATAAAAAACATGTAGCAAAAGGGGAATCATCTGCCTTTGAGCAGCTCTGTAAACAAAGCAGTCCTCATATTTTTTGACAGTTTTATTTAAGGCAGGCATCCCAAAAGCCATCACACTTCACTCAAGCATCACAACTACATGCACAATATTTGGCTATGCTTGCTCATATGTTTTTCCCAAAAAATTTTTTGGCCTGTATTTGAAATGAAAATCAGCAGGGTGTTAGATCTGTAAACTAACATCATTCTATCTGTTATTTTTCTGCTAATGAGCACATGGCTTATCTTTGGTCTGATCCAACACTAGCTGGTGCTGTGAGTCCTTCCTGCTGCTCAACTGTGTCATCAGTTCTGATGGCTTTTCTCTGCACTTGTGGGCAGGCACTTGTTGAAATCATTTGGCTTCATAAGCCTAAATTCCACTTTTAAAAGAGCATTTATATACACCTAAAATGAAGTTCTTTCTGAACACTATTATTTTGCCTTTGTCTTGGTTTTTATTGTGCGTTGTGTATGTATCCTTGACAGCAAGAGAAGAAATGCATCCTTAAAATAATGATGCCTTGTACACCCGTGGAGCACAGTGGACATAAGCTGTTTCTATGCCTTTTGCAAGGCCAGGCTGGATGGAGCTTCGAGCACCCTGGTCTAGCTGAAGGCATCTCTGGTCATGGCAGGCATGTTGGAACTAGATGATTTTTAGGCTCCCTTCTAACCCACGCCATTCTATGTTTCTTTGATTCTGTTCTATATTTACAGTGTGCCAGCAGGGACTTTGTTAATCTGCTGGCTGGTAATTAATGTATTCAGCCTGAAATGTAGCTCCATTTAGCAACACTAATATGTAAAATTTGTTATTTCTATGCTAAAGAATATAAAATGCCTAACTATGTAAAAGTTTTTAAAATAAAATACAGCGTGTTTGGTGTGAGAAGAGAATTTGATTTTTCATGACAAAAATACTAGGACTGCCTGTTGTACCTCCCACTGAAAATACTCTTTAATAAATCTGCAGGTAAGTAAAAATGTCCTTGCAAGTGTTTGGGACAGGTTTCTCAAAGCTGTCAGGGTATTCCAGCATGTGTTATCTCCTGAACTAGAATTTCTGCAAGCTGCTACTCTGTCAAAAAGGAAAATATCTTAAGACTTGATTTTGCCATCCAGCTGTGCCTTTTCTTGCTCCATGTCTAAAACCAATGGAGGGCAAGAGATACCACTTTCTGTATCTTTGCAACCTGACACCCTCCATGTGTTAGGGATGAGGACACAGCAGTCCTGTCCTGTAGTCCCAGGGACCTGGCTCAGTTTCACAGGCAACCATAACACTTGTAACCACATTAATTACCTTTTTAAATATCAGAGGAGATTTTTAAATCTCCTCTGCTATTTAAAAACTATTTTTTAAATAGTTTTTAAATATCAGAGGAGAAAAGAACAGTTGAGTGGTGAAATAAATTTACTTCATTTTGCATATTGCTGAGAACACATTAGAGGTATTACTTTTCATTGTCCTTCTGAAATATCTGAATATGTGTTTTTCCCCTCTTACAGAGATGTTCAAAAGCTGGGGTCCTGCAGCCGGAAATCCTACATCTCTCAGTCCATAAAGAATGAGTGGAAGCTGGCAAAAATTGCTTTTGTGGTCATCATTGTGTTTGTCTTGTCCTGGTCTCCATATGCTTGTGTCACCTTGATTGCCTGGGCAGGGTAAGTGGAGGAGGAATCCAAGCAGCAGGACTTAAGCAAATAAGATTAGTACTATCATCCATATGAGGGAAATCTCCTTTTTGAATGGGTCTTAAATAATTACAACATTAGAGGTGATATTCATTCTTCACTATATCCTTGTAAATAAAGCAGAAAAGGCCTTATTTGTCTATGCATTTTTAAACTATTATGACTTTTTAGTCTTAATATTTGGTACACAATGTTTTCTCTCCCACGTGATGCTTTCTTTGTATAAATTGGAGGAATTACCTCCTTTATCTCCTAATACCCTCCTTCCTTCCGTACCCTGTTGTCTCCTCCACCCATTGTTCACAACACTGCTGTGTTGTCAATGCACGTTCTACTCTTCAAGGCCAGGCTGGATGGGACCTTGAGCAAGCTCATTAGTGAAAGACGTCCTTGCCCATGGCAGAGAGGTTGGGCTAGATGATCTTTAAGGTGTCTTTCAACCCAAACCATTTTGTGATACCTTGATATTAACTGAGCTTGTGCTGCACTGACATTGACTGACAGTCACACCTGATTGACTGTGGGAGCTTAAAGCCTAAAGGAAAATATTGGTTTTAAACCACTTCCAGTCCTCTCCTCCTTCTGCAGTGTTCAGCACTGAGGCACTGACACACATTACTGTGCAGCACACATGCTGCTGCTGGAAGATTTTTTAGGTTTGATTTCTATCATCATTCACTTTTCCCAGATGGCCACAAAGGGGGTTCTTTTGTTGGAGTTCTTGGTATTTTTGGGGTTTTTTTTGTCTATTGCAGAAAAAGGGAAGGTGATTCTTTGTGTTCCTAGTCATCTTAATATTACTTGCTGCATGTCTTTGATCTTTTCTAAATGAATGAAACCAAGTACATGCTGTCAAATTCAAACCTTTCATCTGAGCAAAGAAATCATTTGAATGAATCAACTTTACAGGTGTATTTCTTATAAAAAGACAATAGCACAAAACCAATTTTAAAGACTAATATGTTTTAGTAATGTAGTATCCATGTAATCCATGGCATAGCTGTGTGTAATGTTTTTGCTTTGTTTTAGTCGAGGCAACAGCCTAACACCATATTCCAAATCTGTGCCAGCAGTTATTGCCAAAGCTTCTGCAATCTACAACCCCATCATATATGCAATAATTCACCCAAGATACAGGTACAGTAAATGCATAGGTATGTGTATAACTGTACATGCAAATGTGGATCTTTTACACAGAACAAACTACCCTCATTCCTTCAGCCTCACCCTGTGCACTGCATGTTCCATGTTCCTGTGCTGACCAGGCCATGATGGGCTCCCAGTGGTCACACCCAGCTGGTACATGGCAGCTCCAGATATGGCCTGGGGAGTGGCCAAAAGAGAACAGTCCCTCCCTTCACCTTTCCTCTCCCTCAGAGCCCTGATCTGCCCTGTGGAGCTGTACAACACCATGACTGACAGGAGGAGAAAATGATGCTCAGGTCACCTTTCATCATACCAGAGACAGCCACTACAGAGCACTCTCTAGAGAAAAGTCCCAACCAGCAACACTCAAAAAATCATATCCTTACCAATTTAAGCAGCTCTATATACCTATGTTTAAGGTTTGGTTTTCTGAAGCATTTTTTCACAAAAAAATTTTGGGACACCATCCTTACCAATTTAAGCCTTATGTTTAAGGTTTGGTTTTCTGAAGCATTTTTTCACAAAAAAATTTTGGGACACTGGCAGCAAAAAATACTTTATTATACCAAGGGGATATACTTTTAACAGAACTGCTATCCAGCATACCTGTAGAATTTTTTGCAAGCCTTTCAAAGCGTAGCTACCACAAAGTGATGCTGTGTCGAAAGTTCTGAGAAAACACAGGGATGCCATGGTGGTAAATGTGATAAATGTATAAATACCACTAGATGGCAGGGTTAGTCATTGGTATGAGTCTTGTTTCACCCAAGAGGTGGAAAAGCTGGTAAATTCCATTGCCTGACAACTCAGACTCGGGATCTGGAAATTGAGTTCATTGTTTAGGATGTCTGATGCATGACAGTGTGGTTGTAAGATAAGTGAAGCTTTTTCAGAAGGCTGGTCAAAAGATGCCCCAAAAGGGTGAAAACCTTTCACCCTATGATTCTATAGAGTCACAGAATGCTTTGGGTTGGAAGGGACTTTAAGTATCATCAAGTTCTCACCACCTACCATGGGCAGTGACTCTAGAGAATCACAGAATGCTTTGGGTTGGAAGGGACTTTAAGTATCATCAAGTTCTCACCACCTACCATGGGCAGCGACACCTTCCACAAGACCAGGTTGTGCAAAACCTCATCCAACCTGGCCTTGAACACTTCCAGGGATGGGACTTCCACAGCATCTTTGGGCAGCCTGTTCCTGTGCCTCACCAGCACCACAGTAAATTTCTTCCTAATATCCAATGTAAACCTTCCCTCTTTCAATTTAAAGCCATTCCCCCTTGTCCTATCCCTACATGCCCTTTCCTGTAGCCCTCATTCAGGTAATGCTGTAAAAGGCACTACCTTACAGCTGAAAGTGCCGTAAGGCCTGTCCAGAGCCTTCTCTTTTTCTGGCTGAGCAGCCCAACTCCCTCAGCCTATCTGCAGAGGAGAGGTGCTCATCTGTGTGGCCCTCCTCTGGACATGCTCCAAGAGGTCCATGTCTTTCCTATGCTGGGGATCCCAGAGCTGATGCAGCCCTGCAGCTGGGGTCTCACCAGAGCAGAGCAGAGGGGCAGAATCCCCTCCCTCCCTCCCTCCCCTGCTGCCCACACTGCTTTGGATGCAGGACATGATCCGGGACACGTTTGGCTTTCTGGGCTGTGAGTGCACATTACCAGATCATGTCCAGCCTCTCACCTACCAGCACAGCACCCCCAAGTCCTTCTGGGCAGGGCTGCTCCCAATCCATCCTCTGCCCAGCCTGTGTTTGTGCTTGGGATTGCCCTGACCCACACACAGCACCCTGCACTTGGCCATGTTGAACTTCCTGATGTTCCTGTGGGCTCCCCTCTCCAGCCTGTCCAGGTCCCTCTGCATGCCATCCCTCCCCTCAGGGTGGCAGCCACACCACACAGCTTGGTGTCATCACCAACCTGCTGAGGGTGCTCCCAATCCCACTGTCCCTGACACTGACAGTGGTGTTCCACAGGGCTGGTGCCAGCACCCACCCCTGAGGTCACCACTCTCACTGAGCTCCACCTGGACACTGAGCCACTGACCACAGCTCTGAGTGTGACCACCCAGACAACTCCTTATCCACTGAGTGACTGGTCTGTCAAATCCCTGCTTCTCCATTTTGGAGACATATTTTGTTTGAAAATGTCTGCTATCATAACTAACACCTTTTTGCATCCTCCAAAAACCATCTGAGTTTTTTGCAGTCAGCAGAGCATTTTAATTTAGAGTAGGAGAATGCCTAGTTTCTGGTGTCTTTCAGAAGTTGAATGAGAAGCTTTGCATGTCTGGCTGATGTGTTTAGTACCCATTATTTGTTTCTGAACCAAAGTTATTGTGTTCAGTTTATTATTTTTGCAAGAAACAGGTTGCTCAGAGAAGCTATGGATGCTTCCCTGGAAGTGTTCAAGGCCAGGTTGGACAGGGCTTTGAGCAATCTGGTCTAGTGGAAGGTGTCCCTCCCCGTGGCATCAGGCTTGGAACTGGTTGGTGTTTAAGGCTCCTTCAAGATCCCTTCCAACCCACACCATCCTATGGCTCTGTGACAGTGAACTGCTTCAGTCATTCTTTTTCCTATCAGCATTGGCTTCTTAAGACTGTTAAGAAAAAGACTGGAGTCCTCAACAAGCTGTCAAACATTTTCTTTATAAGTATCTTGTTTTTATCTTGTTTTATTTTTTCCGCACTTTCTAGACTTATCTACAAGAGAAATTGTTGTGGATTTGGGAAGACATTTCATGCACTTGGGAGCAATCCAGTCAGGAAAAAAAGTAATGTTGGGTCCCTTGTGATGAATCAAGAATGCAGTTTCAAAACTGAAAAAACCCTACAGTATACTAATAAGTCAGTTGGTAAAAATATGTTGGCAGGACCAATTTTGCTTAAACAGTGAATAATGAATATATATGTTAAAGTTATTGTTTCTGGATAATTTCCAAATCTTCTAATTATTCACATTATGCCTTGAAAGTAATTTATTCAAGCACAGATAAATGGGCCAGTCTGTTCGGGCCAAAGGGTTAAGGTCTTGAGCAAGGGATTATTAGTCATTTTATATTGGAACTACTGAACCAAATTACATCTAAGTTATTTTCCAAATCTTTCTAGAAAGAGGCATCCAGAAATCAGGATCAAAAGTGTTCAAATTCACCTCAATCCACTAGCAAAACAAGATGCTTTTTTGCACTGAGAATTCCTGACACTGCACATCTTAAAATCCCAACAAAAACAAGCCTTTTTGTGGGGTTTCCTTAACTTAAACAACAGAGAAAAAAAAAGTACATTATAGTGAATGTAGCTGAAAATGTAACAGTGACCTTTGTGCTAGCACTTGGCTTCTAAGAACTGGTTTGAGAGTTTGTTATATTCCTCCTCACTTACCCACCCCCTTGCTCACTCATTCCCTACCAGCAGAAAGGAGAATAATACCTCTCCTTAACAGGACTCACAGGAGCAAATGAATATAAGTGAAGAATGTACGCAAAATTTTAATTTGTGAAATGCTTTTTTGTGGGGAAGAAAGTTTTCACATCTTTAACAACTTGTGTGTTATCTCTATGTTCCACAATAACTCTAACACATTGCTGTGTTAGAGTTATTGCAGAAACTCCCTTACGTTTTGGAAGTTTTAGGTTTTGGAATCATTCTTTCATAGCAAACAGGAAATTCTGCAACTCCGTGTTTCCAGCTGGCTCCCAAGCAAAACAGAATTTCACAAAAAATATTGGTTCAAAACTCCTACATCATAAATAATGAATAATCACAAATAACTTTGAGTTGCAGTGCTCCCAAGCAAAGCAGAACTGCACAAAAAATATTGGTTCAAAACTCCTACATCATAAATAATGAATAATCACAAATAACTTTGAGTTGCAGTATTTTTTTAGAAGTTGCTTGCAATTACTATATTACTCTTATAAGAGTCACTTTAGGTGACTCATTTCAGATTATAATATCATTAAATAAGTATCTCAGTTTATGCCTTTTAAATCACACATACAATATTAAAACTCCCTTCAAAATCTGTACTTTCCCCCAAACAGCAAAATGTCCCTCAATGCTCCTCCCAAATATTAGTAAAATAGAAAATCTGGTCCCTCGAGACATTCAGAAATGTTCATATGTTTTCCTTGAAAATTCACCATCAGACATCTATTTCCTGAATCTCCATCATTAGGAGACCTCTGCACCAAATCCCATTTAATAAATGGGATGGTGTGTTTTACACAAACTTGAATTTGTCAGAGGGGAGTAGTTCAGCTTAGCTGGGGAAAAAAAGCTGGCAGCTGCTCTTCAGCACCAGACTGAGGTCTTCAGCCTGAAAGGAAATTTCTGGGGGCTTGGCATTTTCTCGTGTCCTGTAAACCCTTTCTCAGGACTTGTTATTTTGTGCACAACATTAACCATCTTTTTTCACTCAGCACCATGGGAGCAGCCTTCTGCCCCAAGCAGTTCAGAGGGCCCTGCCTGGTCACCAACAGGCATTGTGGCAGGATCAGGAATGATGGTGCAGGCAGTCTTCATCTTCATTTTTCAGTCTTCATCTCCAGAGCAGACACAGAGCTGCAGTTCACTTGCCTTTGAAATTACAGAAGAAAGAGATGCAGAACTATTCAGAGTGTTGATGATGCCAGATTTTGAGGTTTGATAGTGGTGGGTTTCTTTTTTTGATTACAAGCAAGTGACCTCATTTCATAATGCCAGAATCATGTCTCTGAAATTTTAACATGAGTGATATTTTGTGAGAACAGAAATAATGATTTTAAATGTCCGGGTTATTCAATAAACTTGGTAACTATAGAAGCAAAAGATTTTACAATATACATCTGCTTGACTTGCATCTCGGTGTAAAGTCAACATACTGACATCCCCCAGCGGTCTGTGGTCCCCTGGATCAGTTCCTTGTCATATGCCTTGCTGCTGCCTCACTTCTTGACTTGTTAATTTAGTTTTTTGTCCCCATTAGCTTCATCTGTTGGGCTGAACTAATGGATTGGGAGGTGCTGGGGAGGTTTTACACCAAGTGAAGCGTTCTGACTAGCATTGCCCTGAGAGGAGAAAGGCCAGCTGGCATTGCCCAGGGGAGGCTCTTGGACACCTGCTCCATGCAAGGCCACAGTTGGGGTCAGGAGAAATACACTGACACAACCATGACTGATTATTATTTAATTAATAAGGCAGATTTGGGGTCTAGATCATCCTTCTCCTCAATGCTTATACAGTGTTAATTTTCAAGAGGAGTTTACAGTAGCTGTCATGATACAAATAATTAACAACATCTGATTCTTCTGGCCCTCTTCCTCTTCCTTGTTTCCACTCATTCTGTGCTTTTGCACAGGGAAGACCTTTGTACCAACTAGCCTGAAATTTTCTGGGTTAAAATTTTAAATAAACCATATGCAATCATGCTTTTCAAGGTATTTTCAATTCTTATCACCTATGCAGCTCTTCTGTGTGTGTTTCAACACAAGGCCCAGAAGAACCTGTTATTTTCTTTTCAGCCTGTTGAGCTGTTTGCACCAGCTACCATGCTGCTTGCATGCAATCTTTAAGACCCCTTAATCAAAACAGAAGCTGTGTTGAGGTGATGGAAAGAGACAGCATTTTCACCACATGAATTTCAAAGCCATCTCTTCAGTGTGACAGGTTTGGCTTTTTTTTTTCTTCTCACATTTTCCCTCAGAAAAACCATCCACAAAGCTGTTCCCTGCTTGAGGTTCCTGATACGAATATCGAAGAATGACCTCCTGAGGGGATCCATAAATGAGTCATCATTCAGGACCTCTCTCTACAGCCACCACTCTCTTGCTGGCAGGACCAAGAGCACTTGTGTTTCCTCCGTTTCTACTGGAGAAGCTGTAAGTCTTGTCTTGTTTCCATGAAAGAAAGTGAGTATAACATTTCTCAGACTCTAAATAAGCAACACTATAAATACATATTCAAAATTAGAGAACAGAAAAGGGAAGGAGGAGAGTGTAGCTAAATGTTTTGGTCATGTAAGGTAATTTCTGCAAAGCTGGAAGTTCATGCAGGATGATTTATGATCAGAAAAACCATTCAGGCCAGCATATCTGTGTGGTTCTGATGCCTGCTGGGACCAAGGTTGTTCAGATTAAGTCTTTAATGTGAACTAAAAAGAGCCATTGTCAGACACTCCCTGTCGCAAACTACTGGCTATCTTAGATGGCTCGATGGCCTGGAGGACAAGAAAACAATCTTCCATCCAAAGTTTTATAACTTATCCAAAAGCTCTCTTATTATTTTAGAATAAGTCCATTTTCTGTAAGATGCGAAATTTTTTACTTCTTTACCTGGATTTTAACCATGAGGAGAGAAAGGCTCCTGCCCCTAGAGCATGGTGGGGTGTTTTGTAGGAACATACCCCAAGCATCAATAAGGCTGGTGACTGAGTGAGATAGAAACAAAAGAATCCCTTGAGACTCTTCACAGCCTCTCTCAGTCACAAGAAGCTGTCTTTCCCTGCAGAGGTGCTGGGAAGGTGGCTCCTCAGGGAGCGGCAGCCACGGCAAAGTCTGGGCAGGGGCTGGCCCTCCTGGGGACCTGTGCTGCTCCTCCTCAGTCTGGGCATCAGAAACCTCCCAGAGCGACAGCTGCCACCAGTAACCTCTCACAAAATTATAAATCCTAAGTGTACCTTTTCTACCTTTATGTATAAAAACCTAATTTTTCTCCCATTACTCCTTTGTTTGATGCCAAATGAGGTAATTTCAGCTGCATCATCTTGATCCAAGAAGCTTTCTGTTATTCACTGTTGGTCACTACTCAGTTTTGGTTTGTTCATGTTAGCAGGTTATTTCATGTATTTCTATGTGGGTGCTGCTTAAATAGACAGGATAATGAAGGTAAGAGGCTTCAGCTTTTGGCACAGCTTTGGCTTAGGAGTCTCATTTAAAACCCCTGCTGTTAGCAGTGCACAGCACTGTGCTGTGCTGAGTTTGATGCAGCCGAAGGCAATTGTCCTTTGGGGCAACTGACAGCTCAGTGCAGCTGTAGAGGTTTTAGCTGAAACAGCAGCTGCTGAAATAAAAGCTAAGCTTGATGACTTTGGCATGATAGCAGGACTGACTGAAATTTTGGAAGGCTCCAATAAAACTTTGATGGGCAAGAAATGACACCAGGAACACTGTAAAAGATGCAGCTGTTGCCACCAACATTTTTTTCTGTGTGTTGTCTACATGTTAGTGAAAGGAACAGACATATTTGTGATTCGCATCAAGGAACATTTCATCCAAGGAGTTTTATTCAACAGGTGAGGGGAAATGAACAGGGGCCTGCACATAGATATATGAGCAAGGTGATGCAGAGGAATTATGCATATCTTCCCCTTTGTGTGGCGCTCTGTCTGCCTGTTCGGCCTCTGTCTATCCATATCTAAAAGCTGGTGTTGGAGTGGAATGATCTCATCATTGATACTCAAAAAATCACCACAAAGTAGGGGATGACAGATGGCCTCACCCCAAGCCTGCAAATGGAACAGCACTTTTGCAATGTCCCAGTTGTCCTTCTTTACTGACATACTCTTAGAAAATTAGAGCAAAGCCCACCCACTGTCTCCCATGCACTAAAGAGGGTTTGTAGAATCAGCAAGCTCATGCAGATTGAGAAGCCCCTGGTGTTCTGGATATTTTGCTGGCATGTATGCAAACATGGTTTTGGATTTGTCCATGTCCAGGGTTTTGTATCAGCTGGTGATCACACAGAATGTCACATGACATATTAAACAGATTGATTGTATTGGCTTCCATCTTTAGATGGAATTCAGATGCTCTGCAGGTATAAGTGTAGCATAAGCAATGAGATCAAAAAAGGGTGAAAAACATCTTGGTGAAAAGAGTTTAAATAAATTTTCAATATTTCCAAGTTGGTATTATTTTTGGTCAGCAAGAAAAATAATCCAGGATAAGTGACAAGACTGAAAATAAAGCCTCTCCCCGGGGGAGTTTTGAGTGTGAGACCTATGTTATAACAGCTTTAATTTTCTGAATGTGCATGGGTTTTGCTAGAGTTTGAGAACTTACAAGAATTTCAGAAAGGATGCAACTGTCTGAAATCCTTTGTCAATTTGTGATTAGACCTGGAGCAATGTGGAGCTCGACCCTGTGGAGCCAGCTCAAGAGAAACTGCAGCCTCGCCGAAGTCATTCTTTCTCCATGAGTCTGAAACAAGAGAAGAGAGACCTGCTCCCAAAGACCTGCAGCTATGATGCAGTCAGTGCCCAAAAGGTATAGAAAAAACTGTGAGCTGAGGACTCTCCATTTTAGTGCTAATGTTGCTGCAGTACATCCTCTCTGGAATGATAATTCAACCTTTATGCCCATCTATTTCATCTGTGGGCTTTATTTATACTGATTCCAACATCGTCTTTTTATTTTCTTCCTTTCTTTTTTTTCCTTTTTTTTTTTTTTTGTGTGTGACAAATGAGAGTGCCAGTAATGCCTAATTAACTTTTTTCACTGATATTTGTCTGTTTTTGGAAAGCCAGCTGTGCCTATAGCTCTGAAGCTGCATTAAGGCATAGTCAATAGCATCAGATCTAAGAAGATGTGTTCTTTGCGTCTTTGCCTGTTTATCTACCCGAGCTTTGGTTCCTTCCATCATGGTCCTTGTGTCCATACTGAGGAAGTCTCCTTTTAATGTAAATTCAAGTCTGCAAAACAGAGTTTGACATGATAGAAGCCACCCTTTTCCTTCTTTGCAGTGTACATTAAAATGCTTTATTTTTGTTGAGGTGGAAGATGAGAAAGAAACTCCCATTTCTCCCTAAGGGTGGGAGAGTCTGGCAGCTGCCACCCTTCCCTCACTGACAGAGGAGATGGTGAGTACTCAGTGCATCCTCTGTGGATGCATCTCCCTCGTTGGCCAAACTACCACTGAGGTTTGGTGTCCTGTTGAGGAGCACCCCATTCCCTGATGGGAGCAGTAGGTCGCCCATGAGTCAGCTTCTGCCAGATTGTAACACCAGTTTCCAAATGAGTTCTTGTATGGGTGGCACAGTGTCTGGCATACACCAGTGCTGCCTTTTCAGGGAAAGACTGATGTGGCTTACAATTCCCTATCTGTGGCTGGATTGAGTAGCACCCCCTTTTTTGATGAAGGCACCCTTTCATGGGGTTACTCTAGTGCATGTGGACAAACACCCACACCTTGGGCAACTACAGTATCTGCTTCTGTCACCTGTGCTCCCTTCCAGATATGATGACAATTCTCTAGAGACAGCATAGTTTAAAGCAGGAACTGCTCTGAAAATTTCGAGCCACCCAATGACCCAGTTCCTGCATGTCTCTGTCCTGTCTTCTTTCACGTGTGTCATTAAGAACAAGTCCTGAGAAACCTTGTTCTTCGTCTGTAACTGTTGTGAACAGTATTGGAGGAAAACAGCAGCTTTAAATGTGGTGTCAGGCAACATGGGCTCAAATCTACTACTTAGTTCTGCTGCCTTCTGTCAGCAGCCAAGTGTGTCCAAGATTGTAGCCAAGTGGCAAAGGATATTGTCTCCAGGTTCTGGAGAATCACTGGCTTTCGATCTCATGAGGAAGGAGAAGGGAAGTAAATATCGGGTGGTCTGCATAAACAGTTCAGTACTAAAAGAAATATATCTGTATCTGGAATTTAGCAAATGCGTAACCTGCAAGAAGGCTCATGTGCTATACTTTGCCTTTGAAAGACATCTCTTGAATTATTTTGATAAATAACCCTTTAGACTTTCAGTGACATTCGCTGAACTATGAGGAGTTTATTTACATTGAATGTTCAAGCCTCATTTGCTTTTCTGACTGTTTTCAGCAGAGGCTCCTGTGTGTTGTGGAGATCCTTTGTGTGTTCATTGCAGCTCAGTGCAATGCATCACTGTTCATACTATCAGAGTAAATATTTATTTGTCAAGCTCAGTTAGAGTGTTTCACAATGAGACCACCCAGTTATCTTCAAAAAACCCACAAAAAATAAACCACCCCAACAAACCCCAAAGAAGCACCAATGCATTTTTTAATATTTATTTTAAGGTTTTAATAGCATTACTGGATTGTCTTTGACTGAATTCCAATTAGAGTACTTTCAAAAATCTCAGTTGTGGACAAGCCAGCCAGTGTCTCAGGCTTGGTGCATTCCAAAGCATAAAAATGCATGTGACTGTTTTCTGTGCTGCCACAAAGATTTGATCCAGCCCCATGGCTTACTTCAATTATGACAGTAACAAACTTGATGTAGGCTGACACCTGGAAATTTAACATGGCAGTGAAGAGGCTTTTCTGGAAGTATTAAAATGTGGGTTTGGGTACTTGATTTCAAAGGAGAGTGGTCAAATGTCCCGTCTGCATCCAGGTTTTGTTTGAAGGGAATTACCTGATGTGAAAGCTATTAAAAAAACTTCTAAGTGGGTGTTGTGCCCACCAAGCCACATCCAAAAGAAATCTATCCTGTTGCAGTGGAAACAGCACTTGAAACAGGGAGGAGTGGTTTTGGAGTTGGATTTTTTCATTCTATTATTACCTTTGATATGGAAGAATGGACTTTTCTGTCACACTGATTTAAACCACATTTTTTAGCACAGTGTGCTTCCCTCAACTTGGTAGGTAGAGCAGCTGGAGAAGTTATCAGTGGGGATTTGTGAATGATTCCTGCTTGTGGAGTAGAATGACACAAAACTATGGGAATTCACAGAGTAATGAAGTAAAACCTGCACTTTACTTTAAATGTTGGTTTTCCCTAGAAAGGAGGGACTTCCAGCTTATCTCTCCATCTGACACAGTGGTTTTTTCACCTTGATTGTAATTTTTTTTAAAGAAGCCAAAACTGATTTCTTATGCCTTCCCTTGCCTGTGTATTTGAATATTAACAGCCACTTTCAAAGCTTACTTTGTTGACCCTGAATTTGCATACTGTGCACAAGACTTATGGAAAGAACACAGAGGCCATGCCATCAGAGCCAAGTCAGAAATCAGAATTCTCTAAAATAGGCAGATAAGAAATTGTTTGCGAAGTGAGTATTTATTGCTTCTTTCTTGGAGGAAGCACTTTCCAGTGTGTGAATTCAGGGCCACTAACTTCCCTGAGGTAGTAACAGGAGCCATTTGGAGAGAGACAAAGATTGTCACAAGGTTTACAAAACGTTAGGAAAATAAACAATGAAGTGTGATTGGCTCTTTTCTGAGATTTCTTCCATGAGAAGAGAAAGAAGTGCAATAGTCTAGTACCCTGACACCCTGAGATGTGTTAAAAATTAAGTAATACCATTATTTAATGATGAAATAAGTCAGATAAAAGTATGAGCTTTTGTTTTCTTCTTTTTTTTTCTTCTTTTCAGTCTCTGCTGATATTTGAGTATGTCTTCTTTTGCTCCATTTAACATTCTGCTTTCCAAGCAGTACATGTTAGCACATCATGATTTTCCTTCAAGTTAATGATTCAAGTATTTAGAAAATTGGCCTGGTGGCTCAAATATTGACTAGTGGCAATAAATATTCCAAATACTGTTTTCCACAGCCACATGGTGTCTGACAATGCTAAATCTTATGTCTCCACTCCAGGTTTCACTCTCCTCCAGCTGTTTGGAGAAGGTGCTTGGGCAGCCTGTCCTACCCAGTCCCTCTGCAGCACTCATGACCAGCTCCCTGAGAGCAACTTCTCTGCCTGTCAGATTGAATAGCAGCAGTGTCACCAGTGGAGACTCAAGTACCTCCCATATGGCAGCTCAGGGAAGTCAAGCGAATGGAGTTGTGGATTCTCTCATTAGCAATGCAGTCCCTCGCATCATCATCATTCCTACCTCAGAGACCAATCTGTTTCGGGAAGAACTGGAAGAGGAAGAGACTGAATTATTCCAATTTCATGACAAAAAGGGAAATCTGCTGGATTTGGAGGGGCTTAGTTCATCCATGGAGTTCCTTGAAGCTGTTGAGAAATTTCTATCATAACTTTGTCAAAAGAAAACTTTCTGGTAATTATTTTCTTGGCATCTTCTCCACTTAATTATACCAAATAACTGAAGCCTTGCAGGTTAGATCATCAGATTTTTTTGTATGTTTATATAGTAGTCACTAGGCAGCCTTCTGATTTATCTTTGTCCAAACCAGCTCAGGCATGGAAACAGGCTTTCTTTCAGATTGTGCTGCAGGAAATGAGCAGTGGAAGATCTGGCAGCACGATCGAGTGGCATTGGTCAAGGAGGCCGCCTGATCTGTTGCCACTGATGGGGGTGCCAGCAGAAGGAGAAACGACTGACTGAGAGCAGGGTCAGCTTCTGAATGCTTCTGCTATCTGCACATGGAACAGCGTTCCTGCTTTGGCAGCTCTGCTCTGGACAGCGATGGGAAGCACCGCAAGACCACAGCTTCCAGCAGCCCCAGCAGTAATGCAGATGGCTACACGACCTCAACTAGAGTTTAATCAAATAATTCTCAGCATTGTTTTTGCTGTGTTTTATTTTTAAATAGGCAGAGTGCTGAACATAAGGAAAGAAACTGGTGGTTTTTCACTGGGAAGTGACTGGTTCCCAGCTTCCAATCCTCTGAAGTTTAGTGATAGAAATCTGGATTTTACCTCAGCATTAGCATGGTCACCTAAATGTCAAAATGCAAGGTGCTATATGCTAAAACATACAGTACTGTAGAAGCATTCAGAGTACCTTCAGATTTACAGTCCTGATTAAATATTAATGAGTCTGTGATTGAAAGGGTGAATGCTCACAGCTGGCTTGAGAAGTCATTGACAAAAATAAAGCCTTGGCTGCTGTATATCACTTGTCTGTTCAGAGGAGGTTCTTCTCATCTCCTCTAAAACAAACCAGCAGATGTCTTTTACAGGTCACTTACCAGAGGCCTTCAAATTGGGTAAAACATCATCTTGGGGTGAGAACCACACGGTACTGTAGTGTTTGCTACAGGATCTGCACTTAGATCATTATCTGTGGTTACTAATTGTGCTCATTTTATCTGTGCTTCACATTATGGCTCAGGCTCACAGGACTCTCCTAGCATTTTATTCGTAACTGCACTCTTCCTTTTTTTACTCATTTTCCCATTTTTCCAGGTCTTCCCTTTCAGTCTCTGAGTTTCGAAGATAGACAACAAGCTGAACTACATTGTTCTTCACATAATATCAATATATATTAGTAGAAATCAGGTGCTCCTCTGGATATAATTGTGGAAATATTTGGTCCAGGGAGACTAATACCATTCAGACATTCAACAAGAGAGTGAAAGTTTATGTTCATAGTCTCAGTTTATTTCCTTGGCTGTATCCTAAATTGTGCAGAGAACAGTGAGAGAATTTCCAGGTTTTGTGTATTGCACTGCCTGATCTCGGGAAGTAATTTCTCTTTGCCCATTTTCCTGATGCAAAAACCAGATGGGAAGCATAGAAGTGCTTTTAATTACTTTTTTTTCATTACAAAAAAAGGCAACACAAATCTTGTTTTCAACAAGCTAGACAGGAACACCACTAAAGAACCAATTAAAACCCAGAGCAGCACAAGAGAATGAAGAATGCCTCCAAACTTGCACGCCTGAGGCTCTGCAAGGTGCTAGACCTTTGCAAGGACTGAGACACTTGCTTTTGATATAGACTGTGCAATTTTTAGAAAAAGAGAAAAAAGGGCACTGGTGGGTTACAGAGTCAGTTGCCGTGGCAGGCTGCCTAAAGCAGTGCTGACACTCTTAATGCTGCCATTCTTTGAGGTGCTCTGCTGGCTAGAGACCCTCATACCTCCTTACTGTGGAAAGCAGGGAGGAAATCGGGGGTGGAGCCCCATCATGCAAATGACTGCCTGTGTGTAGCCCTGGTGTGCGGTGCTGGGGACCAAGGCTCAGCTGGGGCAGCACCAGGCTGTGGTTCCTGCAGCCAGGCTGCCAAAGCCCGTGCCCGCTGCGTGCCGAGTTTTCTGACGGGCACAGGAATCATGCCAAGGTCATCTACAATGAGCTCAGCAATTCCAAGGGCAGTTCCTCCATTTGAGGACTGGCACAGTGAGCAGACAGTGCAGGACAGCTGCCGGGGACTGGGACAGGGACGTGCTCACTTGCAGTTCCACAGCATCAGGTTTTCATCCACTGCATAGTTTTGGCCGCAATGAGTAATCAAATGTTAATTATGTATTATGTTCATGGGAAATGGGGCAGGCTTAGTCCTAGGCTAAACATACTGTCCTGCCATCTTGGATTCTTGTCCTTTTTTTTTGCTGAACCTGCCCTCTCTGATTTTTTTTTTCCTACACCAACTGTGCAGTCAGTGACCTTACTATTTCTTGCATTTAATATCCTCAGCTACTGTATTTTTTTTCTTCTTGAGCCAGATGTTAGGAAGCAAGTGTTCTTTCAAGGCTTCCAAGCCTTAGACCTGACTTGTACTGTTGTAATTACTCCAAATAATAATAGAAAATGCATATAGTGTTCCATGTTAAAAAACATGTTCTGGAGTAGCTTTTGCACTCAGATTATGACAGACTTATACTGGGAAGACCGTAGGAATGGTATTGCCATAGGTTTGGGCAGGATGAAGAATGGAAGACCTGAAGTCATAGCCAACAAATTCCTCCATATCTGAAGTTTTGCATTCTACCTGTTAGCCTACAAGATGGCTCTCCAGTCATCTCTTGTATGTGTTTGGGTCTATTACTGTGCTGGTGCTGTGAGTGTGTCTCAGAAAATTAGCAGGCTTGAGGTATGTGCAAACAGTGTTTCACTTTTATGCCGTTAGTGTCATAGATTGTTGGTACCATTGCTTCAGAAGCTGCTAGAAAGATTACTGCTTGTCTAAACAGATGCAGGCTAAAATACTAAATGTATTTTAGTACATATGGTATAATGGTAGAAAGAGAAAACCTAAAGTTGCATGAAATATCAGATAGACTTACTGCAGTCACTGTGAGACTTGTGCAGAAACATCAGTCACAGAGTAAATTAGTCTCAAATTGAATTATACAATGCAGGAGAATTTTGCAAGCGTCTCTGTTGCCACATTAGAATAGATGGCACATAAAAATGTACACTAATTAATGTTGCTTCCCGTTTCACAAAGGAATGTATTGCTTCACTTAAATGGAATAAAAATTTCTTAGGAGTTAAACTGAATTATCCATTGTTTGTTTTTCTTATTTAATAATTATTTTTGGAACCAGAAGCAGGAATAAAAAAAGTTGAGACAAAGCTTTTGAAACCTGTGCTCTGATCCAGTTAATAGTAAGATAATATGTATATATGACTTTATTTTCAAGTCATTTAGGCTGCTCAGGTGCAAGCATTCACCTGCTTGAGTGCATAACATCTAAATTTAGAGTTCACTGGCTGGGTAAAACCTGAAGTTGCACAGCTACTTTTGAAATACAATGACTTCAGCTGGGATGGCAGGTATCAGGTGAACAAAATTGAAAAAAATGAGCCAAAGTCAATACATCAAAACTGTAATAGCAGACTTTGATCTTTGACCTAAATCTGAATGAAAGTTAATGAATAATTGTTTGTTTCTGCTAAAACTCTGTGCAGCACAATTATAGGATGTGTTCCAACTTTCATGAATAACAGAAAATCCACACCACAAGTGTAAACACTTTCTTTTTTCATGGGCAATGATATTTTTTAATATTTAATGGTTAGATAAAGTTTTCAAATAAGAGAATTTACCTACTTGAATCTTAATGAATCTTGCAGCTTTGGGCTGATACGAAACATGACGTAATACCACATTCTTCCAGAAAGCTCACTCATTTCCCAGACATCCACCCATTTCCCTCCTTTCAGGAGACACACCTGAACAAGAAACTTTTGGCACCAACATCTAACTTTATTTGGTTTTAATCGCTTTTTTTGGGTATATTTCAAACCATCCTGGGTGTGTTCTGCTTTATTTGCCGAGGCCTCGTTTCCTCTGCTCTTCTGTGTTTAAACCAGACAGTAATTTTTCTCTCTAGTTTAAAATTAAAAATCAGCAGTCGAAAATGACACTGCCCTAAGGATGCCATTTTTGCCCTCGTGGCAGCAGCAGCAGCAGGAGCAATCACAACACCAGGCCAACACCAGAACCCTCACAGGAGGACAGGAGCACCCCACAAAGGTAGGGATGGCACCTACAGGCTGCAGTGACAGGCAGGGGATGGGGGCTGAGGTTACACACCAGGGTTTGGGGTCACAGGACACTGCAGCAGGTCTGGGTACAGGCAGGGCAGAGAGCTGGGGACCAGGTCAGGGCCCAGAGCCAGGGTACAGGCTCCAGAGCCAGGGGTCAAAATCTGGGGGCCAAGGATAAGGGGTAAAGGGTAAGGGTTGTGATGCCAAGTGCCAAAGGTCAGGGATCAGAGGGCAAAGGTTGGGGGTCAAGGTTTGTGATGGGATGTGCAAAAATGGGAAAATACTGCACAGTAAATACCCTCTTTTTAAATTTTCTTACCTCCCCCCCAGCCCTTGGGGTTTTTTTGTGTTTTGGTGTTTTTTGTTGTTCCATCTGCTCTTTGCTACTTCTCTGTGCAGGTTAACCTTGATATTTTTTGTCTGGTTCTTTCACAAATACATGAAAGCAAAGCAAGTTAGTGGGGAGATGAAAACTTGGGTACATATTACACAGCAGACTCCTTTCTCACATAGGAGTAATCAAAACTGCCCCCAATGCTTGTGTTCAGCAAGTGCATGGACCAGGTGACAGCAGGATGAAGCCTGGCAAGGTGGAAGCAGCCAAGATGCATCTCCTGGTTCATCTCAACACAAGCTGATGGTCAGTTCTTGTTCTGCACCTCATCCAGAGCCTCAGTCTGTAATCAGTGTTCTGTCTGCACCTTGAATGGACAAGTATTTAGGTGAAAAGTTTGGTGCTGGAATGCCTTTGTTGTACCTGTCACTTTTACCCATGTATTAACATACACGACGGCTTCTACGGCTTACTAAGAGTTCAAATGTCTGTCCATGCATTTTACTTGCTTTATGGTGTG